CCCCAAAACCCCAAAACCCCAAAACCCCAAAACCCCAAAACCCCGAATAAATAATTTTTAGTTGAAACATTAATGGGGAGGAATTTGAAGATATATGGCAACGAGGTTCATCTGGAGAAGGGGAGTATGTGAATTTGGGGGGTTTTGAGGGAGTTTTGTGACGTGGGTGTTATAGCTGGGAAGAAACCGATTTATCGCAACAAGATCGAGAAAAGTCCTTCTATATACAAAAAGAAAGCAGTAAGAATGTCAATAAAACTTTGTTACGAATGACTTACCATGACCATAATTCGTACTGTAGAACTAGAGGTTTTCTCTTTGATAAATTAAGACTCTATTGGTATATCTTATACAAAGTTGGCTTCTAAGCCTATCTGGTCGAGCTTGCGAAATAATATTATTCTACTCTGTTTTAAAACACCATCTAGCATAACTTGCACTTTTAAAAGGAAAGAGTTGTCAAACCTCATGAATTGAAGTGATGATAGTGCATTCAGCATTAAGAGGTATAAATTTAACTCCTAAAATACAAAACACCACCTATAGAACGCTAAAAGAGCAGCTTAAATTTGATTGTGCGGCTGCTGCCTATTCTACACCTCAGAACGATCATGACTACTATACATCATTTAATAAGTGTAAGTGTAATACTAATAAGGCAATTTGAGTTCTACTAAATGTCTTGTGAAAAGCTGAAAGCTTTCACAAGAATTCTGATCCTTCCTTTTGGATGTCTTCCTAATATTTTTGTGCAGATAAGATCAATAACGAGACTTCACCTAGAAGGCTCAGGAAGGTCACAATGCACAGTGACATTCCAATATCAGATACCAAGAAGAGGTAAGATATGGCACTTATCTGTAGGTCGATGAGTATTGATGAGCAGTTCCAAAAGCACAATCAAAGCAGTAACCCTAATTTGCTTGGAACTAATGACAGGACCACTGGGAGTGAGATATCCAGACCTCAGATGATCTCCAAAAGCTCTAAGAAGAGGCTCACTTCTAAAAAGGAGATACGTAAAATTTTCCGAAAATTGAGGAAAATCAAATTAAATCCAGAGTAAGTTGATGAAACTTTAAAGGAATTGGTCAGAAATTTAAGAACAATTTTAATCTGTTATACAGAAGCCTCTATTTCTCAAACTGTAAATAAACTGACTGATGAGTTTATCAAGGAAGGGAAGCTCAAGAGTGAACAAGAGACCACTGCCTTTAAGAATGCCATCAAGAATTGTAAAAATCTGAGTAAAATTTCCTTTAAATTTATAGAAAGCTATCAGAAGATGCCATCTATTCTGAGGGATATTAAGAAAGGAAAGTCTAACTTCGAAGATAGTCTTACTATCCTTCAGAACTTGAGGGATAAAGTAGCCAAAGATATATAATAATCGGTACTCCCCACTCCTCACACTACAGAAGAAGAAGAGCAAGAGAACGACCCGATGCAAGAACTAATCGACGCTGCCAAGCTCACTAAGAAAACTCACCACAAATTTTACTCTCCGTTCGGTAAGAAGATGATGCATGGTTCTTGGTAAATTTAGTCTGTGATTTAGTAGAAGTCAAGAAATTGAGAAGCATATTAATGATAAAGAAGCCTATATGGCTCCTTTGGAGACGAGGATTAAGATAATGGCAAGTTTGTTGACCAATACGCCTAATGAGAGGAAGGTTAAGGGAGGGTTGGAGAAATTTGGAGATGAAAAGGAGATGAGTAAGCTGAGTAAGGATTTTTCAAGGAAATTGGGGTGATGGAATGTAGGGAGTTATTATGGTGGTTTATAGGTGGGAATATGCTGTCAGAAGCAATTTTTGAAGAGAATTCTTCAAAAGGAAGCTCAAAAGGGGATTTGTCTAAAATGCTGAATCGTCCGAAGAGAACAGCAAGCAAATCGGTGATGAAGCCTACTTAGTAAGTTTATTTATATTATGCTAGTAGCTCTTCTCTCAATAAGGAGTTTAAATAACTCCAGAATCGAGAGTAATTTACTTTACCTTAAGAGGAAATTAAGATCTATGAAAATTCAGGAAAAAGATAAAGTAAGCAGTGATTCATCAGGTAGCCAATCTCTTAACCCATCTAGAGTACGGTAAAGACCTCAAGAAGGCCAATAATAAGAGGCTTTTGCATGACATGGTATGCTTGACCTCTATGTTTGCATTTTTCCAAGTTTTCCATTAAAAAGAGATTCTAGACAATTTAATTTCTTCTGTGTTAAAACCTCGTATAGAAAGTTATTAAGAAGATATTTGAGAAGAAATCAGAAAACAGTTTGCCAAGCCTGACAAAGAGCAGGAGCGGATCTCTCTTGAAGAGAATTATCTTTAGCTGTCATTCTTATGAAAGTAGACATCATTTGTGCTAACTTATAGATCTTTCACCAAGAGATCAGATTAAAATAGATGAGGATAGCTGAATAGAAGATATTAAGCACAGACATTACTATAACACTAGTATTGGTCATCTAACTTTTAGTTGACAAAATTGATCCAGCCCTGCATTATAGGGAGATGAAGAAGAACTTTGACTACCAGATGTTCGCCTACAAGCAGCAAATTATCCATCAAGATGAGATCTCTCAGGAATATCGAAGGTAGAGCTCTCTGCTAATCTCTAGTGGAATTATGGACCCCTGAAGAACTGTAGCTATGTTCGAACGGACTAGGTCATTGTATAAAATGCTAATGAACTCTCAGATGAAGAACAAGTTGAGATTTAATATGAAGAAAAAGATTGGCAAGTACACTTTTTCTTCAGAAGTTGAATAATTTTTAACCTTCTCAATATTCAAGATAAAAATAGGGGTTTTGGGGTTTTGGGGTTTTGGGGTTTTGGGG